CTGCAACTGTCGTCGACCAACTGTTAGCATCCTCATAGCACACCAGCCTCATCGCTGCATGGCGCTGCAAATTTCTCATCGCAATCTTTCTTTAGGGAATGAAGTCAGTGACAGAGACAGCGACGGAAAGAAGAAGGAGAGACCGCGAAACAAGGACATAAAATAAACTCTGACTTTTTATTAGTTCCATCAGCGTAGCGGGCAGAACAAGAAATTACGCATTTTTCGCGCGTTCACACTGGCGCGAATNACACACACACACACACACACACACACACACACACGCACGCACGCACGCACGCACGCACGCACGCACACACACACCACACGCACGCACACCACACGCACACGCACGCACACACACACTGACACACACACACACACGCACACTCGCTCTTTCTCTCCCTCCTTTCCTCTCCCTCTCGCGCTCACTCTCTGTACAAACTATGGCAGCACAACAAACCGCATGCACACCTAAACCTTACACGTGAGCAATAATGACGACTAGATACAAATGCAACTAACTTCCGGGAGCAATACATTTATACTACATATCTTTCTCATAGAAATTCTGTTTCGTGTATGTTATGATAACGTGCCGGTACGGCAGCTGCGATTTTCTGCATCATCATGTCAGTTGATCCGACGAGGACCCCTTGCCGAGGTCGTACATCGTGTTGTTGCACTGAGCAATCTCGCTTTGTTAGTCGAACTCTGGCTCGGATGTAGTGCCGTCGGTGTTAGTGTAGGATCAGTTGTTGTTGACGCATACGTACCACGGGTAGCACCACGGCGACGACACCACGCAGCAGACGGCACGCAGCGACACGAGTACGCGATGCACGACCGCACTGTACACGCACGCCACGCGCTGTGTTGCACTGAGACATATGCTTTAGTCGATGGTCCTGCTATGTGTTTGAGGTTTCCAGTGCTGTATGCAACTGAGACATCATCGAGGACCTTTGTATGATCGCGTGTCGGGTTGCAGGTTATGGTGTGTGGTGCACATGAGAGATATGAAGCTTTCGCTTGTTCTGTAGTGTGTTGAGGATTTATCGTGTTGCACTTGAGACACTATGAGCTCTTGATCTGATTCCTCGTAGTGGAGTCGACGGGTTATGACGCTGTCGTGTGGACTGGACGATAGATCAGAGCTTTGTTGTTCCTGTAGTGGGTGAGGTTTGTGTGTTGCACTGAGACATATGAGCTTTGTTGTCCCTGTAGTGGGTGAGGTTTGTGTGTTGTGTTAACTTAATATTATACGTATGATCCTGCTATGCCTCCAGGCGAGCGAGGCGGGGGCCGAGCGCTCTAGGGCCGTCCATCTGACGACATTGACTACGGCGATTAACTGCCGCTACGCACTGCAGAGGGCTTTGGCCCTCTAATTGAGGGCAGAGTCGCGGACAGCACGTGTATGGGACTGTATGCACTTGCGGCGAATCGGCAGGATCTAGCTGTCTGACCGACAGCGCGATCAATAGTCGTTCATCTATGGCTTTAATGTGTGAGCCAGTGTGTACGTCGTTACACGCACACACGGGGCACGGCTCTTACTACGACAAGCGCTGTTGTCAGCTTGTTGTGGATCAAAGCTCTTTGTGTGCGTGACTATCTCAAACTGTCATATCAAACCTGGGTAATAGACAGTGTCTGGTTACGGAGACGAGCGCCAGAGCAGGACGAGGCAATGTTAATATCTTGTCTTGTCCTTATATTACATTTTCTTTTGATATATGAACTTCTGAGAGCTCTCGCCATAATTCTTATGTGTCTTTTGTGGGGCATGTTTTCGGGAGTTCCCGTAGCCGAACGGTTACTGTAACATATAATTGTTCTATAACATCTAATAACTGTTGGTATGTGATTGCGTATAATAGGCGCACTATAATACTTTGGGGCAACCATAGCAGCGCGGAAATCACGTCGGGGCATGCGTCCAGGTGGGTGGAGGCAACCTGGGAGGAGATGGTATAGGCTAGCTATGATGAGTAAGTGCCAAGGATTCAAGGACAAGTGCAGCTGTTGTCGTCGTATTATAGTAGATCGCAATTATCAATACTTCGATAGAAGTGGATTCGTTACAGAAGTAAGATTAGAGAAGACCGGTATGGAATTAAGCTTTTTGTGTGAGCTGTACGGAAGATCCGCACTGGTGAGACGTGCCTCATGAGGACAGAGAGGCCATGCCGGCTGGGCTCGTTTCCGACTGCGACACATCAGCGTCTTTTCGTCCGGCCGGGGATTGTTTCAGCATCTGGTATACTTCGATCTTCCGCATGGCTGGAACTTCCTTTTAACTGGTGCGCCGGCAGGCCAGGCGGGTGCGGGTGTTTCTCTTCAATGAGTTTTCTCGGGTCGCAGGCGCGGTATAAGTCCACGCAGGTGCGCTTTATTGTACTGATTGCTTGAATACTCAAGGGCCGTTCGTGCTCGTGCCACGAGTGGTGTGGTATTTCTGGGGCCTTCAGCATGCGCACTTGTTTGTAGCGGCAGATTTAGCTCACTTTGTGTTTTGATTACTGACTTGCGGTTTGGAGTGCTAAGTTTATTGGTCACAAGGCGTGGTGTGTATATCAGGTCCACGTTGTGTTCATCGTAGGTGTAGTGCCGCATGTGTGCACTCCTTAGGGAGGGAGGGGTGGGTGGTAGTGAGTCGCTGTTGTTTAACTTTTTATGCCCTCGGAGAAGTTGAATTTATATGCTCGCTTTTCTGTATGCTTGCTTAAGTTTTCGAAGTCGTCTCCGTGTTAGACGATTTCATTTATGATAAGTGAAGGTTTGCGCTGGATAATACCAGGATTTAGATAAGGTAGCTTCCTGACGCGTGTATAGCTAGTAGCTCAACCGGCGAAGTAGTAGTGTGTTCAGTCTTACTACGCTCGCATTGTGCTGTGATGTGACGACGATTGTTATG